CCGAGAGTGGGGAGGAGGGCGGAGAAGCTATTTGGGTAAGTATCACTCGTAGACTCGTCCCACACTTCTGTGGGGGGGGGGGGGAGTCTACTTCATTCACTTACCCAAATAGCTACTACATATGCATAGAGTGGCACCGACAATCGGTGGCTGGGTAGGCGAGAGCCCTGGAATCAAATGGTTAAACAACAGTATATATATATATATACATAATGATTTAGACCATTTAGATTGAATATACATGTAAATGTATTACCTGCTTAGTTGGTCTCCTGGCCAGGCCGGGAAGAACTACTGCGCAGGGTAGGGTTCGTAGACGAGGACTGGTGTTGTGTCAGTACCGTCTTCCCTGTGTTCCCTCCAGTCTGGAGTACATCACGTAGGTAGCAGGATGTGAATGTCGTGGCAGACTTCCAGCATGCTGCTTGAGAAATCTCTGAAATAGGGACTCCCCTAAAAAATGCCCAGGACGCCGCTACGGCGCGTACGTCATGGGCTCGGACAAGGCCTTGGACAGAAGCATCCTTTTTGGATGGCCAGTCCGCATTAGCAAATTTGATAGCAGCTACTACCCAACGCGCAATGGTGTCCCTTGAGGCGGGGCCATGTGGCTTTATGGTTGTAATAAAGAGCTGCATGCATTTATCCCTGAGTGACTTAGTGCGTGCCAGATACCATTTTAGGGCGCGCACTGGGCACCATAATTTGTCTGAGGGGATAGAAGAGGTTGACTCTATTTTGGGGAGAAAATATCAGGAGGGCTGAAACTTGCCGTCTGATTTTCGTCAGGAAGGACGCCTTGGGATCAGGCAAACCCCACCTGGTTCCCAGCGGATATGTCCCGAATCTAAAGTCAACGCATGGATCTCGCTGCTACGCCTAGCGGTAGCCGCTGCGAGCAGGAAGGCCAACTTTATAGATACATGAATGAGGGGTGCTTGGCCCAAGGGCTCGTATGGAGCCTTGGCCAAAATGTTCAGGACCTGACCTAGATCCCAGGATGGGACCAGTTTCCGGATTGTAGGTCTCTCGTTGAACATTCCCCGGAGTAGGTTAGTGATTGCAACATTAGAGGAGATAGATGAGCCATCAGCGAAGCCTTTGTGAATTGCTGCTATGGCTGATCGATAATTTCGTATTGTTCCTACTGACAAATTGGCTCTGAACAATGACAGTAGGAATTCCGAACAATGGCTTAAAGAAGCACAGAGCGGATCCACAGCCTGTTCTGCGCACCACCTACTATAATGTCGTAGTCGACTGTCATAGATTCGTCTTGTTGAGAGACGACGTCCCTTTGCGGCCAGAGCTGCAGCGTCTTCAGAAAGACCTGCTGCCTCGGTAGGCACGTTTGACAGTGGCCAGCACGCTAAGTGGAGATCTCCCGGAGACGGGTGTCGGAACCGGGACTGAGGTTGAACAAGTAGGTCGTGACGATCTGGGAGGATTAGTGGGGAGCCCACTAGGAGCCTCACCAGTCGCGGAAAACCAGGGCTGACGCGGCCAAAAGGGGGCGATCAGCAGGATCTTGCACCTGTCTCTCTCCAGTTTCCCGATGACCTTTGTAAGGATTGAGATCGGGGGGAAGGCGAAAGCGAACATGTTTGTCCAGTCTATTGATAGTGCGTCCGAGGCCCATGCATGAGGATGATGGGCTCTCGAACAGAACACCGGGAGCTGAGTGTTGACTGCTGAGGCGAACAGGTCTATGTGTGGACGACCTAGGATCGAGAAGATCTGATGTACGATCCTCCTGTTCAATGACCACTCCGTGGGAACTACTTTGCCTCTGGAGAGAGAGTCCGCTATGTCGTTTTCTGCACCAGGAATGTGAATGGCACATAGATCGACTTTGTGTCTGATTAGCCACTGAAACATTTCCCAAGTCCGGTAGCACAGCTGGGGTGATTTTGTACCGCCCTGTTTGTTGATATATGCTACCACTGTCGTGTTGTCGGTCTTGATTAGAACAGACCGACCCACTACGTCTGCCTGAAAGTGGTGTAGGGCATTGACTACGGCCTGGAGTTCTAGAACATTGATATGTAGGGACCGAGTGTTGTCGTCCCAAGTGCCTGCAGCTTGTCGAGGGGGAAGGGAGGCTCCCCAGCCCTCGTTGGAGGCGTCGGTGGAGATTATGACGTGAGGATCCCCTCTGGGGAAGCTCCGTCCGCACCGAATGTTCTGTTCCAATAGCCACCACCGAAGGTGTGGCCGAATGACATCGTCGATCGAGACCAATAGAGAGATTGGATCTGTCTTTGGTCTGTAATGTGCCAGAAGATGCATTTGCAAAGGACGCATCCTCAGTCTGCACCATGGAACCAGGTCCACTAAGCTGGCCATGAACCCTAGAAGTTTCAGCCAAGCTCGGGCTGGAGCGACTTGAACGGATAGGAAAAGTTTGACGCACTTCAGCAGGCTGGTAACACGTTCCCCTGTGGGGACGGCTATGCCCCTGCGTAAATCGATCTCTGCTCCCAGGAAAGTGATTTCCTGGGACGGGATTAGGTGGGACTTCTTTTCGTTGATGATGAAGCCTAGCCTCGTCGTCAACGTATAAGTATCCCTCAAATTCTGAGCAGTCTGGCCTTCTGATTTTCCCACTATCAGCCAGTCGTCGAGATACATAAAAATCATTATGTTTTCTCGTCGGAGACGTGATGCCACTGCCCGCACAACCCTGGTGAACACTCTTGGCTTGGGTCAGGAAAGTGATTTCCTGGGACGGGATTAGGTGGGACTTCTTTTCGTTGATGATGAAGCCTAGCCTCGTCGTCAACGTATAAGTATCCCTCAAATTCTGAGCAGTCTGGCCTTCTGATTTCCCACTATCAGCCAGTCGTCGAGATACATAAAAATCATTATGTTTTCTCGTCGGAGACGTGATGCCACTGCCCGCACAACCCTGGTGAACACTCTTGGCTTGGGTCAGGAAAGTGATTTCCTGGGACGGGATTAGGTGGGACTTCTTTTCGTTGATGATGAAGCCTAGCCTCGTCGTCAACGTATAAGTATCCTCAAATTCTGAGCAGTCTGGCCTTCTGATTTTCCCACTATCAGCCAGTCGTCGAGATACATAAAAATCATTATGTTTCTCGTCGGAGACGTGATGCCACTGCCCGCACAACCCTGGTGAACACTCTTGGCGAGGTTGATAGCCCGAAGGGAAGGGCAGTGAACTCGTAAGTGCGCCCCTGATACCGAAAACGAAGGAATCGGGAGTGCTCTTGGAAGATGGGGACGTGTAGGTATGCGTCTTTTAGGTCTAATGACGCTCCCCACGCTGGTGTGGGTAATGACTCTAGAACTACATGGAGAGTTTCCATTCGGAAACGTTTGGGTCTGACAAACTTGTTGAGCGGTTTCAGATTGATTATCGGCTGCCATTCGCCAGCCGCCTTCTTTGGTGTTAGAAAGAAGGAGGACAGGAAGCCTTTGAACTGCTCCATTGGTGGCACCAAGCGGACCGCTCTCTTCTCGATGAGGGATGAGATCTCTTGTTCGAGAGCTAATCGTTTGTCTGTGTTTGCCGGAACCGGTGTTTCGCGAACACATATTTCTGACGGAGGGGTGCTTGTAAATTCTAGTTGATAGCCGTGGCCGACTATAGAAAGCACCCATGCGTCGGAGGTGATCTCTCTCCAGGGCCCTACAAAATTTCTGAGACGACCCCCGACGGGCCCCAGTGTCGGGGTCGACTCGGTAGGGGCGTCACCGACGCCACCCAGAGCGGGGGGCCGATTGCCCACCGCCACGTCCCCGGCCGCTAAATTGGCGTGCAGGGGCAGAGTAGGGGCGTGGAGCTGAAACCATTGCACCAGCTGATGCCTTGGCCGTCTGTTGGCGAAAAGGCTTGAATGGTTTCTTAAGGGCAGGGCGAAACGAGGGAGCACCCTTCGTTGCCTTCTTCCCAGAGAACTTGGGCTTGTTAGTGGCTGAAGGCTTCTTCAAGCTCAGTTTGTCTGCTGTCTCAATTCGTTTGGCTTCAACTTCCAGAATTTCCTGGAATTTGCCTCCGAAAAGGTCTTTGCCCATAAGAGGAAGGTCTTTTAACTTCTTCTTAGCGCCCTCGTGTGGTATGTAAAGTGCATCCATCACGTTAGTCCTACGTGACTTGGCAGACAGGATAGAGATTCTCGTAAATTGGTCCAGAGAGAAACGGAGTATTTCGTCCAGACACCGGAAGGCCGCTGCTAACATATCGGCTGGAATTTGTGAATCTTCCTCACATGCGCAGACGATATATTCAGATAACAGAAGTAAAAAGGCGCTTGTTTGTGAGCCAAATCTAGCCGCCTCATCGACCTTCTTCATTGTATCCTCCATCTTTGCTCTAGTCTTATCGACAAATATTGACTTGGTCGGGGCTTTGCCGCTATCTCCAGTCAATTTGTCCTTGGCCGTATCCGGAATAGAAGGCACCGTAAAGAAATCGTTTCGGTCCTTTTCTGGAAATTGGAAATAGGCTGCCGACCTTTTGTTGAAAGCCGTCCATTTCTTTGAATCGGCGATGCGTTGTATGCGATCGGCGCATAAACGATCCACCGGCATAGTTGGGAAAGCTTGATCCCGAGGTTCCTCCACGCCAGTCCGGCGTTTGAAAGAACGACGGGTGGTCTCTGGTTTACTGCTCTCTGGTAGTTGCAGTACCCGAACCATATCTCTTTGAACCAGCCTCAGCTGAGTCTCAAATGGCGAAAAATTGCCAGGGTCAGTGGCCTCATCATCCCCAGAGCGCTCATCTTGTGAGTGAGTGTTTAGTGAGGGCTGCTAGCGAAACGTTGATGTCCTGGAAAGCTTTTAGAAAGATTTCTGTGGATACACCTTTGTTTTTCTTTTTCCGATGCGTCGACTTACGGGGGGGAATCCCCTGAAGAAGACGGCGCGGCCTTGTGTTTCCTTTTCTTGCTTGGGTGACTTGATTCACTGGATGAAAACTCCGATAATATCCTGGGAATTCCGGAGCATTGATCGAAGAATGATGTTGACTGCGAGTCCGTGGCCCGAATTGGGGGAGGAGGCAAGTCAGTCACCGCGAGTCCTGCCCATTCCGCACGGGTGGAAGCAGGATGCTCGGAGCGCGATGAACGCGCAGACAGGGCCGGTGAGGATTGAATCCTTTTACCGCTCCGTGACTGGTCATCCCCGAGAGTTGCTGGAGCCAGCAGACCGGGGGGACGAGGCGAAGAAATTCCCGCGAAACCACGGGAAATCGACGCCGGGTTGCTAGGTGACGCCGATGGTCCGGAGACCGGAGGCGTAATCGAGCGACTATTGGTCCCTTTTTGGGTCTTACCCTTGGGACCGCCGGTGGCCTTTGATGTGGCCTTTTTAACCGCGGAACCCTTACGGCTGGTCGCCTGGGGGGCCGTGGTTACACGGGGAGTTTTATCCCCAGTATCCTCACGGTGTTCCATACCGTAGGACGTATGTTTGATGCCGGTCAAAACGCGTAAACACGGGATGACCGTTACAAACTACGGCGATGTCCCTGCGTGGGGACTCACTGCTATCTCGTCTTTTCGTACTATTGTACTACTGAGATATTTGCAGTTGAGAACAGCCGAGGGGAAGGGAACGACCGCTGGTCGTTGTACCCCACGGAATTTCTCTTTACACGCCCGGCGAGGCGGCCGAGGGAAGTGAACGGCCAGCGGCCGATATACCCACGAATATCTCGCCGCTATCTCGTTTGTCACCGCACTACCGAGATAGCTTAGGACGGACGAGGGGCAGGGAACGACCTCTGTCGATATACCCGACGAAACGTCCTCTTCTAGCTTACTAGCTCCCCGAGCTAGCTGAAACAGTCAGGGGGGAAGGGAACGACCTCTGTCGATATACCCCCACTGTACTCGTCTCGCTAGGCCCTAGCTCACCGCGAGCTTAGGGGAAACGAACGGAGAACAGGGAACGGCCGAAACCGCTATATTCTTCGAAACGTTTCGCTAGTCCCCTGAACGGCCGAAAGTCTGACTTCCGGAACAGGGGCCCCACGTGTGGGGCGACTAGCAGACCCTGTGGAGAATAACCGCACTTCTCTCCGGGGATATACGACGCACTGTCTCCCCTAAAGGTCTTTACGGATTTCTATGGAGTCATAAAATAAATGCACTGCTTTTTTTTTTTTTTTTTTGACAAAAAATATTATTATAAGATAACTGTACAACAGAAATAATAATAATAACTCAGGAAAGCCGACTCGGCTAAAATGGGATTGCACTCGATCCCAAAGGGAGAACCCACGATGCCTACCCGGCACTGGGCTAGCCCCGCGGTGCCGACCTGGCCCGCCGCACGCGGTGTCAGACAAAGGCTGAAAAGCCTGCTACGCCACGTGAAAGAAAAACGAAAGCAAAATGACTCCAAAATCACTCCAAATGAGAACTACTTAACTCAAAACAAACTCTACAGATTCTACACAAACTCACTTGGTTGATAAATTCTATAAAACAGAAACTCTTAAAGCGAAAATCGTACAAAAACTCGTCAAAAGGCGAGAGCAAAAATATTTGCTTCTGCACGATGCCGTCGCTAAGAAAAAAGAGGAAGTATAATGGCGGATTCATGACGTAGCATGATGGGTAGGCCCCGAGAGGGCGCTCGGTGGTTGATTAAATCTTTTAGCGTTTGAGCCTGTCGGCTGAATAAATATGCATATGTAGTAGCTATTTGGGTAAGTGAATGAAGTAGACTGGCCACTTGTTGGTTGAATTCAACTGGTATCACTCATGGAGTCAATAGAAAACTGGTTGAAACCAGATGAACAAACCAGTTACCAACTGGAAATTCATATGGAGTCAACAGGTACCAGATACAACTATTTGAACAGACCAGTAACAAACGGGTCAGTCTTATGTAGACTTTGCTTAATGAATATTGGGAAAACATTGAATTGGGTTTCGTTGGCGTAATGTTATTATTGTAATTGAATTACAATGAACTAGTGTTACACTCAAAATGAAAGAAAGAAAGCTAAAGTTGTGCTTTGTACGCACATGTAATAATAGTAATAATGCACACAAGCACACACATTTGAAAGGCGCACAGGCCTATACGGGGCATGGTACGGGGAAATGCTGAGAAACACTGTTGCATACAAAGTCTATGTGGCTTGAAATACTCTACAAATTGAAACGAGTATCTGATTTAATGTCAACGGAATGCAACTTTTTTTTAGAAAATGAAAATACATTAATGCGGCAGGGGCGGATCCAGGAGTTTCGCAGGGTGGGGTTTTTAGTTTAATGTAGACAACTTTTTTTTCTCCGGACACTTGTCCTCCGTAAAATAAACACTTTCAATGGGTGCGCTGTTCAAATCCGACGATTATTAGCACTATATCACAGAATAATGTACATATACCCGCTAACCAAGCTGGCTCTGTACGTATTTTGTGCAAGGCGGACATTTTGTGCAAGGTCGGAGCAGGGGGAGGGGTGTTTTGCATTTTTTTCAGGAATTTCTATGGGAAAATTTTTGGACAGAGCTGGTTTTTTTTTTTTTTTTGACCCCCCCTCTGGATCCGTGTGTTCCATACTTTCACTGGGGGCGCTGTTCAAATCCGACGATTATTAGCACTATATCACAGAATAATGTACATATACCCCCTAACCAAGCTGGCTCTGTACATATTTGGAGGGGGGTGGTTTTGACCCCCTAAACCACCCCCCCTCTGGATCCGCGCCTGTGCGGTCTTGGTCTGCACCAAGTTTGGAGCTGATCAGATCAAAAACAGTGTCAAATTTTGTTATAAGAAAAAAATCCTAAAAAAAAATTTCTGAATTTGCATACTGGCACTGTTATCTACCTATCCAACAAGTTTCATGACGATCGAACATTCCCAAAAACGTGTTTTGAAAAATTGCATTGTTGATGATGTCATCATGACATCACACATTTTACAAAATTATGTGATATATCTATTACCTAATAAACCTAACACCAAATTCTTTTGAATTTAGCATGTTGCCTTCGTGAGATAAGGTGTTAAGTCTCAAAATTAAGAAAATATGTTTATAATCACACGTAGACGTCATGATGACATCACCTCAATTTTCACCTGAAATACATCCCCCTTTACCTACACACCAAGTTTCAATCCAATTGGACTTACAGTTCTCTAGATATAGGACTTTAAAATATGCACTTTTAAGTTACCGTTACGTGGCCCATGATGATGTCACCATGACGTCACTCTTCTCACTGCCTTTTCGGCCGTTGTGACAAGTGAAGAATGGCTGTGCGCATGAGCCACTTTCACAGCCCCCCCCACCCCCGGACTGGAAATTTGGCAAACGGAGAAAACAATGGCATTCTTACATGTCAGTCCTGTCAGTTACCATGGTTATAGACCGGTCAACATGGCTACATAGCCAAGGTTAGTTTGGACTTTCAACATGTTCAAAATATCGGTTGGAACCCTTCCACTCATAGTCCCGAAATTTAACAAGCATTGTTTGTTCATGAGAGTTTATCCAAGAGCTTCCAAGGGCGTCTATAGGATCTGTCATTCCAAAGAAGTTCAAGGGAAAATGGAGCACATACGAATGTGTGGAGTGCCGTGGCCTCGTGGTTAAGGGCACTGAATTCATGGTCTGGGTTTCATGGTCATGGTTGTGGGTTTGAGTCCAGCCTGGGGTTATGGTGCGTGTGCCCTTGGGCAAAGCACTTTGTCACTCATTGCTTCTCCCCACCCAGGAGTAAATGGGTATCTGTGAGGGCACAGATGGTTATTGCGTTGAATTAGCTTCCTTGCACCTAACAGGCAGCATCCAGCTGTATACTCCTCAAGGAGCTGAGATGGTATTTGGAATGTTTAATTGGCACAATGATCAGGGATAACAATAATACTGTAAGCGCTGTGAATTAGTTTACTAATAAGAGTGTTCTTTAATGCAGATTATTATTATGTGTTCTGTAGAAATTTTTTGGAAGTTCTGAGTTATGAACAGAGCATGGCTAGGAATGTAACAACGTTTACCAGTCTACCATGTTTTAACGATTAAAACAACCAAATCCCAACCCTGTGCCTCTGTTTTGTTCATTCATTACTTGACACAAATGGACTGGAGCATTAGACACGTTCTAATCCGTAGTTTCTTGACTCGCCGTTTGTCTCACAATATTCCATAACTCGTAACAAAACACCAGAAAGAAGGGGTATTTAAAGGGCCCCCTCTCACACGCGTCCCCCTTGGCAACGCCGCTGGCAATGGTTACACTGTGCCAACCAGACTTGTATGACTCGTGACTCGGACTCGGACTCGAGTCCTACTCGAGTCACATTTTTAATGACTCGGACTCGGACTCAAGTCACTTTGACTTATGACTCGGACTTGGACTCAGACTCGGGGCTACGGACTCGGACTCTAACTGACTTGTGACTCGACGGAAATTACCGCACTGCACACGCGCACATACATAAGTCGATCGTTTTCTTTACTGTGCGATACATGTACAGGGCGCTTGATGCGGTGCGTGCGTGGCCGTGGCCGGTTACCATATTGATTAAAGAAATCAATGTACCGAAACTTGTACCCCGCCATCCGCATGTAATACTGCATTGGTGCAAGATTGATAGCGTAAGGTACCAGATTTTTCTTGTCAGACGGCCTATCGTTCACACGTGTATTGCTGTCGCATCGCGATAACACGATATGAATAGTTTGCTGATCTGCCCGTTTCAGTAACGTTACATGCAAGTTGCAACGTAGATTATGATGGCATCCACTCCAAAAATTGTCAATCTTGGGTATCATTACTTCAAGAGAAATGCCAATGGAAGATCAAGTGCAGAATGCAAGTTCTGCAAGAGGAAAATAGAGGAGAAAACCGGCACTACGTCAAACTTCAATCGCCACCTTTCACGTGTGCATCTTAACAAGTAGCCTAGTTTTTCCCTTGCCTCGTACCGTGTTATGTCGTGGAGGACATACTGTACATGTAGGCCTATATCCAAGGTGACTCTGAATCTCTGTATTCCCTAAAATGTACGTTTTTCCAATACAATGTTAGAGGTAACTCGTGACTCGGACTTGGACTCGACCTTTGTGACTAGTTCTCGGACTCGACCTGGAGGACTTGGGACTCGGACTCGAGAAATGTGACTCGGACTCGGACTCGATGTTTCGTGACTCGAATACAAGTCTGGTGCCAACATAACGCTTACATCTGTGCACGGCCCTATACCATGGCGCGTTGCATGCCTGTTTTATATTGCACAGAACGAGAGTAAAATCAGGTTTGCTAACTCACCTTCCAAGGTATTGAAGAGACGAAGTACCATTCTTCACCCCGAAACTGGACATTTTTTGTGGGGTTTACTTATAGACTATCAGTTTGAGGCCCCTAAAAATCCCCTCGAAGTTGACGAAATAAGGCGTACGAAACCAATATTATATATTGAAGTTACTCTCAGAAAAAGACTACATGGACATGGTCTATATTCTGCATCTGACTTCTCATCATTGTTCAAAAGTTAACTTACATATTTACCTAGCCACAACACAGAATGTACATTTGAGTTGCACATTTTTATCTCGCTTTATCATGAACTACATGTGCTTGGTTCATTTTGCTGCTTTGGACCGTATCCTTTTCAGGCAAAGGGTGTACATTCATGAGAACATTCGCTTACTCTTCCTTTATTCAAAACTGCAAAAACTTTTTTTTTTAATACTAGCACTTCAATTTAAATGTTATTTTTCAAGTTGATTTTTAGTCAAATATTATTGGTCAAACTAGTATAGATGGGTGTCAATGAACTTTGTCATGGATGTCATATAACAATGTCATGGATGTTATTGAACTCCGTTATGGATGTCATTAGACATGTACCCTGCGATAAATGCTGTTTGTTATGACATTGCTATCTATAGCTTGGTACTAACATTAGTGAATTTTAGAACAATTTTGTACCGTGGTTACCTCTCAGGAGCCGAGGTAGACAATGCGTTGTGCAGTAATTGTCTGCAGGAATTATGTATGTAAGACAATTAAGACATCAGAGGGGCAGTAAAAGAGAGTCAGCAGTGCGAGGAGAGGGCTGCTCCACCCCAGCCAAGTTCATGTCGCTAAGTTACTGTTACTCTAAAATGTACCTGTGCAGCCATGGCAGGTGCTGCAGACTGCTCCATTGAAGGGTCAATATGACAGGGGCAGTGACATCAACTCTCAAGACATTGCCCTGCCCACTAAACTTAGCTTCAACCGTCATATGCAATTGGCAAAAATCTGATTCATATGTTTTCAGTTACAGAACATATAGCAAAACAGCATCATCTCTCCTTGAGGTTCATCTTTTAAGTCACACTAATACACGGCATTAGACTGGAAATGCCCTTTAATTATGTTCAAAAATGGAGACAGAAATCAAAACAAAAACTTACATAGTTGCTCCAAAGCCGACCCTTTTTACATTCTTCACATCCGTATGAACTCTAGAACAAATGAAATGAATGTAATCATGATTGTGCTGGGTTTCATAAATTGATCACATTTACCAAAAAAGGGCAAGTATAAATTAACAAATTCATAGCAAATTAACAATGAATGGTTCTCCCTAAATTGAGGTAAGCAATCTTTACAAATTAATATCCATGCTTGTGTTACGGTATTTGATATTATATAGCACTGGCAAAATATCAGCTTTGAATAAGACTAGTTATCAGAACATTATCTCACCTGTGACCCGACCTGTACCTGCAACATGACCAGCTGTGGTTATAAGCTGATAAGTTTGTGCTTATCGTGGAATTTAGGAAATTGTGAAAATATTAGCATGATGAAAGGTGACTCTTGTGTTTTACACTTTTGCCAAAACTAGGACTTAATTGAGACAAACTTGAGTCTGATGGCTAGCTTCAGGTCACATGACATCAAGGTACACTACATCTATCCAGAGAACTATGGTGTACAACTCGTATCATGCTCAAACTTAATGAGTATAGTGACAACATAATCTTATTTAAAATTTGAGGTGATGCGATAATGTGCTGGTCATTCTTGGATCAATGATGTACCATGAGCAAACCAAGTTAACCAGTTTTTGGAATTTGAACATGATGACTCAAGAGACAGTATCTTTTGCTGAAAAAAATTAACATAGCTAATCTGTGTCTTACCCTTGTATACTTTGCTGCACTTCACAAAAGCTTGAATCACTTGAATGTTGATCAGATGTCACTTGAATTCCACTCTCTGATGACTGTGAGCTGGCTGATTTCACACTTTGAATATTCTGTACAGGATCAAACTGATGAAGATTTAGCTTAAGGTGGAACCACATTTTCATATAGAGAAACATCACTTCTAAATGCTTATAACGTCCTGCAGATGTAGTCACTTGGTAAATTTGCGAGCAGACATGTTCATGGGCGTCGCCAGGATTTTTTCTAGAGGGGGCAACAATTTTTTGTTACCAAAAATGCTTGTATTTCTCAACACATTCTCGATTTATCAGTTTAAGAGGGGGGCAGGGACATTTTGCCCCCCCCCCCAACTCATTAAATTTACACCACTTTGTCTTCGTGCCTCTTTTTCTTTTTTTTTTCTTCCTTTTTTCTTCCTTTTTGGTTTGTTTTTGTTTTGCTTTTCCGGGGGGGGGGGGGGGGGGCAAGTGCCCCCCCTCGCGACGCCCATGGACATGTTGTGCATGCGCAGTGTGAGAAATCCACTGGTACCTCAAAGCATTTCATCAGCATGTTGTACAAACTGGCTTTAAGGTGATGACATGAGATGGCCAAATATATTTGGTCTGTGACTTTTCCTGCAGTTATACACAAAGAACTTTCCGAAAACATTTACTAGAAAATCAGCCACAATAAATCAGCCACAATACTTTTCAAGAAATATTTATTGATTTTGATGCTGCACTGCCATGAAAAGTTGACTGTCGATAGTATCAACTCCAGACAATTTTCTAGATTTGTTGGTCTTGATATTAGTGAAATAGCTATTAAAGGGAAACTAGAGGTTGTGGCTGTGAACAAGCACGGAGCTGTTCCCAGTTTTGATTCTCTATTGGACCGTAAACAAAATGATATAATGAGATAAAAAAAATGAAATTAATAAAATTGACATTATTACTTTTAAATTGCACTTCCGGTACAACCGGAAGTAAGGGTCAGATGACCTTGACATACACATTTTCATTTATAACGCTTCCCTGTCTATAAACCTACTAAGTTTGAGATCAATCAGTTAAATAGTTTTATAGTTATAAGTCTACATGTATGAAGATTGCCTCATTTAATATTCATGACGTCAAAACCTGAAAAAAATAAACTGCCCAATAATAGTAATGCATAATATATAACCTTTAATGTTGCTTAATGCTATTATAAGGTGTCAACCCCATGAGATTTATAATTCATTAGATATGCTAAATAGGGTCTAAATTAACACTTCCGGTAACACCAGAAGTAGGGGTCACATACACATTTTTATTTATAACACTTCCCTGTCTAGATATTTGCCAAGTTGGAGATCAATCTGTCAAACAGTTTTAAAGTTAAAGAATTATAAAGATTGCCTCATTAAATATTCATGACGTCATAACATGAAAACATTAAACTGCCCATTAATAATAATGCAACATATTTATCCTTTAATGTTGCTTAATACTAATATAAGGTGTCGACCCAATCAAATTTATAATTCATTAGATATGCTTATTAAGGTCTAAAAATAGCACTTCTGGTAACACCGGAAGTAGGGGTCACATGACCTTGACTTACACATTTTCATCTAGAACACTTCCCTGTCTATATACCTACCAGGTTTGAGATCAATTGGTCAAATAGTTCTATAGTTATAAGACTGTAAAGGTTGCCTCATTAAATATTCATGACATCATAACATAAAAACAATTAATTGCACAGTAATAACAATGCAATATAATTATTTGTCAATATAGCTTTGTATTATTGTGAAGTTTCAACCCAATCAGAGATTAATAATTCATGAGATATGATATAGGGTATAAAAATTACCACTTCCGGTCAAACCGGAAGTGAAGGTCACGTGACCTTAACATATCAATTTTGATCTATAACACTTCCCTGACTATATACATACTGAGTTTGAGACCAATCGGTCCAATAGTTCAATATTATAAGACTGTAAAAAATGAACATTCAAATCGATTTCACGTAACCTCCGATGACGTCACGATGACAAAAAGTTTGGGCATACATCTTCAGATGATGGTTAATGACTATGCTAAGTTTAAAGTTAATCGGATTTAAAATAATTCCCAAAGTGACTTGAAGAATAAAAACATGTACAAAACCTATGGGAAAAGTGGAAAAAGAACAAAAAAATAAACTAGAGGTCTATGTCTGTTTCCAACAGAACATAGGGCTTTTCTGCATTATGTTTTTTTTAAATTGAGGTCATGTTTTTCTGTGCAAAACTGTGTGCATTTACCTTTTGTCTAACAAACCTAATTTAAAAAGAATTTGGATTTTGGAATAATGCACTTGTGAGATACGGCAAAAGTATTCAAAATTTAAATATAATATATTTATATATATATATAATCACAAGATGACATGATTTTAATCACAAGATGACATCATGATTTTAAATTGAGGTCATGTTTTTCTGTGCAAAACTGTGTGCATTTACCGTTTGTCTAACAAACCTAATTTAAAAAGAATTTTGATTTTGGAATAATGCACTTGTGAGACGCAAAAGTATTCAAAATTTAAATATAATATATATATATATATATACATATATAATCACAAGATGACATCATGATGACGTCACCTCAATATTTATACCAAGTTTCAACCCAATCTGACTTACTTAAAATATACAGGTTAACGATGACGTCACCATGTCTAATGATAACGTCATCGTAACAATACTTGGCAGTGCTCATTATTTTATTGTGGTTTTAGTCTGAACCAAGTTTGAAAACAATCGGATTAATAAAAGTGTTAAATTTTGTAAGCAGAATAAAATTGGCAATATTAAAAAAATCGTCAAAAATCTACCGATGACGTCATCATGACGTCATTCAAGATTTTGTGTACTAGTGTTATTATCTACCCACCCACCAAGTGTCATGACGATCTGACATTCTCTTATATGTGTTTCAAAAAAGCGTCTTTTTTATGATGTCATCATGACGTCAGACATTTCTCCAAATTTTTGTTCATATACCAATTTGGAGAAACTAACCTAATACAAAAAGAATTTTGAATTTAACATATTGGGTTCGTGAGAAATGGCTTCAAGGTCCAAAACCTCAAAAAATCTATATAAAATCACACTGTGACGTAATGATGATGTCACCTCAACATTTATTTGTAACACATCCCGGCCTACCCCCATACCAAGTTTCAACCCAATCTGACGTACTGTTCATGAGATATAGGGGCGTTAAATATACAAGTTAACGATGACGTCACATGTCTAATGATGACGTCATCATAACAATACTTGGCAGTGCTCATTATTTTATTGTGGTTTTATTTTGTACCAAGTTTGAAAAAAACTGCATTAATAAAAGTGTAAAATTTTGTAGGCAGAATAAAATTGGCAATATTAAAAAATCGTAAAAAATCTACCGATGACGTCATCATGACGTCATTCAAAATTTTGTGTACTAGTGTTATTATCTACCCACCCACCAAGTTTCATGACGATCGAACATTCCCTTATATGTGTTTCAAAAAAGCGCATTTTTGATGACGTCATCATGATCGAACATTCCCTTATATGTGTTTCAAAAAAGCGCATTTTTGATGACGTCATCATGATGTCACACATTTTTCCAAATTTTGTACAGATACCTTTTGCCTAACAAGCCTAATACAATTTTTTTTTTAATTTAACATATTGGGTTCGTGAGATATGTCTTAAAGGTCCAAAACTTAAAAAATCTATATAAAATCACACGATGACGTCACCTCAATTTTCATCTATAACACATCCCGGTCAACCTACATACCGAGTTTCAACCCAATCGAACTTACGGTTCTCTAGATATAGGGTCTTAAAGTTTGCACATTTAAGATGACGTCACATGACCCATGATGACGTCATCATGATGTCACTCTTTGGGACACAATGTCACTAAGGGGTCTTTACATGGGACAAGTTTCATTAGAATACGAGTTTGTTTTAGGTCCAAAATGCCGCAGTGAATAAACGTGTACAAAGTCTATGGGATTTGGGGTAGGAACAAGAGGAAAAAAAAACTAGAGCTCAATGTCTGTTTGCAACAGAACATAGGGCTTTTCCGCATTATGATTTTTTTTAATCAATAATATGCCCTGAATATTCATGAACATAAAATCTGTCAAAAGAATTTTGCATTTTGCATGTTGCGTTCGGGAGATATGGCTAAAAGGTCCAAACAAATAAATATTCATATAAAATCTCAGGATGACGACATCATGACGTCACCTCATTTTTAATCTATAACACATCCTGGTATAGCCACATACCAAGTTTCAACCCAATCGGACTTACATTTCTGTAGATATAAGACTTCACAATATGTACGTAAATTTTCAAAAATCAATAAAAAAATTAGGTGATGACGTCATCGTGACGTCATAGTCTAGGCAGAATTTTTGTATGAGGGTCTTCCTTGGCTGTAACTTTGATGACGATTCCAGATCGCCAAGTTATAAAAATGGTGGCTTGAAAACGTGTACACATAAAAGTCAATGGGTTAAAAATCCAACAGCAGAAAAACTGCACCTTTATATACGTGATTTGCCTTTAAACTGAAACTTTTTTATCAAATATTACTTGATATTCTGACTCTTGGGAATATTTTCAATCAATGACAGGCAAAAAAAAAATACGATTTCTTTTTCCTTCTCATAGTAATTCTCAGCCGAAGTTCAGAACTACTCAGTAAGATATATCAGTGTTGTATAGGGAAAGACTTGTGGAGAAAGCTGTGTACAAAGTCTATGAGAAAAATTAATTATTCATGAATCCATAATAAATCATTTGATGATGACGTCATCATGATGTCTTAGTCTTGGCATAATTTTTGTATGAGGGTCTTTCTTGGCTGTAACTTTGATGACGATTCCAGATCGCCAAGTTATGAAAATGGTGGCTTGAAAACGTTAATAGGTTAAAAATCCCACAGCAGAAAAACTGCACCTTTAAATTAGTGATTTTCCTTTAAACTGAAACATTCTTATAAAATATTACTTGCTATTCTAACTCTTGGGAATATTGTCAATCAAATGACAGGCGTAAAAA